TCAGATGTCCTTGTCGGGGATGTTCCAAGCAGCCGCTGCTGCCGCTACTTTTACAGCTACTTTTACGAGTGCTATTATTAGAACCAGTACTACTCCGAATACTACAACTGCGACTCCGACGAATATTACGTCTACTAAGTTAACTACTACTACTACGACTACTACGACTACTACGACTATTGATACTACTGCTACTGCCACTGCTACTACGACTACTACTTCTACTACTACTACTTCTACTACTACTACTACTACTACTACTACTACTATTACTACTACTACTAGTATTGCTACCACTACTGCTACAATTGCTACGGCGACTGTTACTACTACTGCTACTAATGCTATGACTGCTACCACCAGGGCTACTGTTACTGGCACCCCGCAGCTACATCAACTTAGCGTGGCACTGCTACCGCTACCGGTGTTGACGTTGCTATTAATGCAACTGGAACTGCTACCAACACAACTGTCACTTCCAGAGCTACTACAAATGCAGCTACTACCACTACTACGGCGACGACAACGGCGACGACGACGTCGACGGCGGCGGCGACAGCGACGACGACAGGGAGGGAAACGACGACGGTGACGACGACGCCGACGACGGCGGCGGCGGCGGTGCGACGACGACGACGGCGACGGCGACGCCGACGACGACGACGACGGCGGCGACGGCGGCGACGGCGACGACGGCGACGGCGGCGGCGAGGGCGACGGCGACGGCGACGACGACGGCGGTGGCGGCTGCGGCAGTGGCGGCGGCGGCGGCGTCGACGACGGCGATGACGACGACGACGACGACGACGACGACGGCGGCGGCGGCGGCGGCGGCGGCGGCGGCGGCGACGCTTATTGTAATGATTTTGGCCTTGGTGGACCGGGCAGGTAAGCCCAAGATGCATCAACGATGTTGCAATAAACCCTCACTCCACGTTCCAGTTCCATCTTCACCGGTCCCCGGTATAATGTATATCATTGCGGAAAATGTCCCATTGAACGACGATCGTCAGAGATTCCTCAACCGTGCCAAAACGCAAGTCTTGGGACTCCATCGCCGCGAGTCAATGTGACGATTTCGTCCCGACAGTCCTAAATCGTGCCGCAAATGCAATTCCTACGGCTCCATCACCGCGAATTGACGTGACCGTTGCGTCCAGACACCCCTAAGCCGTGCCAGAACACCATCCCAAGGACTTCAACACTGCGGATCAACGGGACTGTTGCGTCCAACTCCCCGGCCCGCCCTCTCCCCACTCCACTCCCCGGCCTGCTCTTTGGACGGCCTCGGTGTGCGACAGGGAGGAGTTATTTACAAGCAAAACGAATGGAAGATTAGGAGGAGAGGGAGGAGGAGGAGGAGGAGGAGGAGGAGGAGGAGGAGGAGGAGGAAAAAGAGGATAATAACGAGGAGGAGAAGGAGGAGGAAGAGGATGATAGCGAGGAGGATGAGGAAGCAGATAATAACGAGGATAAGGATGATGATGATGATGATGATGATGATGATGATGATGATGATGATGATGATGATGATGATGAAGAAGAGTCAATGAAGAGGAGGAGGAGGAGGAGGAGGAGGAGGAGGAGGACGCCAGCCCCACGAAGCCTTGAAACGGTTGCTGACGTTTGTGGCACGTGCCCGGTGCCCGCCCGGCGCCCGCTTCTGCAACCGATGCAGCACGTCAGGGCGAGTGTGCCTACGGCGCTGAGGCGAGAGCCTCACTTGAGCGACGCAAGACAGCGGGGTCGCCTGCGCCGACAGCGGCGGGTCGGCTCCCCGCGCAGGGTCACGCGTGAGCGCCCTCGCCTCCAGTGTCGCGTGCCGCGCTGGCGGCCTGCGCAAGCCGCCGCGCAGGGATCGCTGTGCCATCCCGCGTAAGACTTGTTTCAGGAGGGAAAGAAACACACAGACACAATTAATCGTCGACTCCCAGGAAAATATTGGAAAATATGGGAATTGGGGGGGAAGACAAAAACCCAGAAAATATGGGAAAATATGGGGAATATTTTTATTTGTGTGTATTTATTTGTGTATCCTGGGGCCCCTTCAGTAAGACCCGTTGTGGATCGAGCCTCATTCTTGAACACCAGACGCCCTCCGCGTCCTCGAGCCGGCTGCAGACTTTGTCAGGCAAGCGTGCGCGGCACGGGGCGGCACGCCCGGCTCGCCCTGCCGACTGACGCGCCACACTCTGAAAGTGCTGCGCGGTCCGCCCCGAGAGGCTGCTGCAGATCTCGAGCCTCGGGGGGTCCGAAGCAGTGAGGAAGTCGGGCGGCACGCCTGGCTCGCCCTGCCGACACGTCCTGGGGGTGCGACAAGAAGGAGCGAGTTAAAAAGGAAAGGGATAGAGGAGGAGGAGGAGGAGGAGGAGGAGGAGGAGGACATCCACCACGACGATGACCAGGAGGAGGGGGCTGGGCAGGAGGAGGAGGAGGAGGAGTAGGAGGAGGAGGAATGGGAAAGAGGCAGATGAAAGGGAAGACGAGTGGAGGAGGAAGAGGGAGAGGAGAGGTTGAGGACGAGAAGGGGGAGGGGGAGCAGGAGGGGGGCAGTCGCGAAGTTCGCAGACCCACGCCGCTAGACCTCCCCGATTTGGGGAAGCGCATGGCAGCTTCAACAAACTTGCCAAGATTTGGTCGCACACCGCTGTTGGATGGAAACAAAAGTTCAAAGTGTATGACAGTGTGGTGGTACGTAAGCTGTTGTGCTCGCTCGACTCCCTGTGGTTGTTGAAGGCTGACAAGTCGAGGCTCGACGCGTGCCACTCCCGCTGCCTGCGTCGCGTCCTGGGCATTCCGCATTCTGTATTTTCGCGAATAAGTACTTCGAGCGTGTTGGAAAGAGCTGGCGCCAAATTGCTATCTCAGTTTCTACTTGAAAGACAACAGAAGTTATACATCCGTGTCGCTTCCAGTCCTCCTTCATCCTTGGTGCGTAAATGTTTATGTAATCTGGACGGTACCCCACGAAACTGGGTGGAACACCGGCGGCGCGGCCGGCCCAGACAGCAGCGTGCTTCCCAGGTGTGCGAGATGACGCGGCACATATGAGGCTTCACCTCCCCCGTCCTCATCTCCCCCCCCTCGCCCTGTCTTTTCCCTCTTCCTGTATCTCGCAGCAGTGTTGCGTTTCATCTTCTGCTTCACAGTCGCGTTGCGCTCAGCTGCCTGCTTCGCAATCGTGGGGTGCTCCGCGTGCTCGCTCTTTTTTTTCTGCAGAATCTCCAATCGCGCGCCGCTCCGCCCACGCGTCCCGCAGGATGCACGGCTTAGTGGTGGTGGCGGTGGCTCGACCTCCCCAGGGCCATCGACAGTAGCGAGAGTTCTACAATTCGCAGCCCACCCAGGGAGCCTCGGGGTCTCGCAGGGGTCCGAATGACCTCCCAGGAGCCCACGGAAGTAGCAACAGTTGCGCAGTTCGCAACCCCTCACGAGCCGCGATGTCTCGCAGGGGTCTGCGTGACTACCCGCTCCGCTGGACCTCCAGAACCCCACGGAAGAGGCGACGTTTGCGCAGTTCGTAGCTCCCCAGGGAGCCGCGAGGTTTTCGCGGGGGTCCGCGTATCTACCCACCTCGGCGGACCTCCCAGGAGCCTGCGGAAATTTGCGGAGTTGAGCAGCTCGCAGCCCCGCAGGGAGCCGTGAGGTCTCGCAGGGGGTCGCGTGACTACCCACTCCGGTGGACCTCCCCGGGGTCCACCGAAGTGGCGACAGGAATGAAGCATGATGCAAAAGAAGGTGGTGGAGTTGGAAGAGGAGGATGGAGCCGAGACCGCAGTGTTCTACTCAGAAATAGAACCCAACACAGAAGCAGGTCGGGACAGCTCGCGGCGGGAGGTCTCTTCCACGATGTTCGGCCTCCGGGAGCCTTTGCTGGGCTCCAGGACCACCAGAGAACGTCTCCGCATGCGGGCTTTTTGACTTGAACGACACGTGCTGGATTTCGGGTAACAAGTTTTTGGGATTCAAAAGCCGAACCCAAAGGACTGGGTCGAGGCGTCCACGGGCCCACGCTGAGAGCACAGCTCCTGGCGTCGGGGATTTGGGGGTCTGGGGACCTCTGCCGCTTCCCCCTGCCTCTTGACGGCCTCCAGGTCAGGAGACGCTGGGCCTCAGATGGTGTTCGAGCAAATGGGGCGGGACTGGCACGAGGATGGTTCCGTTCCAGAGCTTTCCCGAGCGTTCCCGGAGCGCGCCGGAGCGCTCTGAGAAGGTCGCGGCGCCCCATGCATCCTCCACAGCCTCTGGACCTCAGAGATCTTCGGTTGATCCTCGCCTGGGTTTGTCCTCGTCTTGGCTACGTCTCAGTCGGAGGATGGCTCCGCGTCAACGTCGCCGAGGCGTCGCCGTCGTCGCCGATGCCTCGGCGACGCAGCGGCGACGCGGCGCGATCCTCCGGCCCCAGCTGCTCGGACCCCGACCTTGAGAGTGTTTTTTGCTACCCTCTGTCCCATAACGCGCGTTATGCCCCCTCCCACATCCCCCCCCCCTCACGCAACGCTCCCCCCCTCAGTGCGTCCACAGCACTGCCGCAGTACGTCCGGCACCACAGTCTGGGGGGGGGCTAATTGGCGCTGATTACGCTCGCTACGCCCTCTCCCCTCCCCTTCTTCCCCATTAACGCCCGTTGTGGCCGCGAGTGAAACAAAATGCGCTCGGAGGCCGAGCGCGCGCCGGGGCGGGCCGCCCCGCGGCGTGTCTCTTGGCGATGTGCGCGGGGTCCGGGGGGGGTCTCGTCCCTCGACGCGTCGGCCCTGGGCGCGGCGCCGCCCAGGGGAAGAAGGGCGGCAAGGGCGACAAGGGCGGCAAGGGCGACAAGGGGGGCAAGGGCGACAAGGGCGGCAAAGGCGGCAGGGGTGGAGCCACGCATCCGCGCCCGCGCGTGCGCCAATCCCAGATACCCTCGCGGCATGCAACGCTCACGACGGCAGGCTTTTGGCGGTTTTCGGCCTCTGGGGGCCTAGTTCCGGGCCCTGAAACCGTCCAGAGACAGTCATTCTCCAGATCCCGGCAAGTTTACTTGCATATGAGGTGGGGCGTGGCGAGGCCCGAAAGGAAATCAGGATGTCACGAAACTCAGGGTTGACTTGCACGCCTTCTCGGCCCAGCGCCGTTTGGAAAGGCGGCGGGGGGGGGATGCAATGCATGTAAGCTGGCCCGAGTCTGAAGATGACAGCCTCCCAGGAAGCTGCTCGGGGTGAGAAGCGGGTCCCTGGGATTAAGTCGGGCGCGTCCATCGACAGGAGGAATACTCGAAAGTAGTTAACAGATAGTCTGGGGACGATGTTTTGGTTATTGTTGATTATTTTTGTTTATTGCTTTGACTATTTGTTATTGATCGCTCCAAATCCGCCTGTAGGAGGACAAGCCCGACCTAACCCTGGGAAGGGGTCCAGCCTCTGGTCGCCCACGGCATGAAGAAATCACGGCGTCGGGGGCATCTGGTCGTGGCTGGGCCAGCCCCTGGGCCCAGGACCAAATTTCTAGGCTTCCCAGATGGGGTCGGAGCATCTTGAAATCGTGCATGTCCCTCTACAGGAGGAATATTATAAAATAGTCAAACATAGTCTGGGGACGATGTTCTCTGCTACTGTCCACTAGTTCAATCATGTTCGACTATTTCTCATGTTCCTTAGAACATCCGCCTGTAGAAGGACGTGCCCGACCTAAGAGTAGATGGGGTCAGGAGATCTCGCGGAATCGCCGATGCATCGGCGATGCGGCTCCATGTGAAGCCCGATTTGCTCCACGCCGGCGTCGCCTATGCACCGCCGACGTCGCCGATGCATCTTCGATGCATCGTAGGTGTATCGGCGGCGCCTCTGCGATGCGGCGCGATCCTCCGACCCCATCTACTCAGACTCCACCTTAGAGGCCTCTCAAGTGCGCCTGCGGGACGGCCTGGCTGGGCGTCACGACGGGGCTAGGACGAGGATAAATCCGTTCCAGATCGTTGGTACGCTATCAGAGCGTTCCAGAACGCTCTGAGATGGCCTTGGCCCTTGGGACATCTTTTCTAGAGTTCCCGGATCGCAGAGATCCTCGATTTATCCTCACCCGATTTGATCCGCGTCTTGGCTTCGTCTCAGGAGGAGGCTGGCGGGGGCAGCACGATGTGCGCCGGCGCAAGCTAAGGTTTCGTGCCTCTGGCCAGTTCCACAGGTCGCCAGTGCGCGAAGCGTGGCCTTATATGCATGGCAACATGTGTTGCGCAATCTATGTGGTGCAAGCTGTTTGGTGCAGTCTGCGTGGTCCAGTCTGTGTTATACAATCTACGTGGTGCAAAACCCATGCGGCGGCGATTGCGATGTTTGGTGTGGGCTGGTGCATCTCTGCGGCCGCGCTAGCCCGCTCGCTTGCGAAGCGGCCAGTTTTTTTGGCTCGACTTGCGCGGCCGCGGTGCCGCTGACCGCTGGACACTTCGCAGCGGGCACCAGTGCGAGTCGGCGACTTGGGCGGGCGCGGCATCATGGCAACGTCGACAATGGCAGCGATGCTGGTGGCGATGATGACAACGACGACGGCAAGGCCAGTGACAGCGCCGATGCTTATCACCCCGGCGACGATGTCGGCGTCGTCTCGTCGGTGATGACAGTTTTGGAAGGAGTTCGACATTCGGGCGTGGCCGACGCGAGAGTGGCCCGCATGGTATGACCTGACACGGACCGCGACCCCCCCCCCCCAGCACGCGCGCAAAGGCTTTCGAATGATTTCGACATGCGGCGCGAGAGTCCCGTTTGGCCCAATTGAATCAAAAGGATGAACAATCGATGGTTGTCGCGAAAATGCGCAGTAGCGCGAACGCAGGTTTTGGTTAAACATTGATGTTGCACAACCGTTGCTTAGATATATAAACCTATACGACCACCCTGCTGGTGATAAGGTGGCTGGGGGGCAGCAGTGGGCAACAGAGGTGATTGTTGTTCTGACGATGCATGTGGTGCGCCTATCGATGTGAATGTCGATTTGTCTTTCGCTCTGCATCTCGATTTGCATGTCGACATCGATGTGCATGTCGATTGGCTTGTCGATATACATCTCGCCTTGCATGTCGACTTGCATTGGAAAGCTCTCCGCGGCGCCCACGGCGCCTTACGATTTGCATTTGGATGCGCAAATCGATGTTTCATGTCGGTGTGCTTTTCGGTCTGCGTGTCAGTTTGCATGCAGACTTGCATTGGGTAGCTCGCCGCAAGCGGCGACGTTTCGAAATGCACAACCCACGGCGGGACACCGGCGGGACACCAGCGGGACACCGCGGGCCACCGTTTGACGGGAGGAGCATCATTTGGTCCGGCCGCGGCCTGGCCACAGGACGATTTCGGGACACCAGCGGGACACCGGCGGGACACCGCGCGCCACCGGCCGCCGGAGGAAAATCATTTGGTCCGGCCGCGGCCCAGCCAAAGGAGGATTTCGGGATTCCAGTGGGACATTGGCGGGACACCGTGGGCCACCGGCCGCCGGAGGAGAAACATTTGGTCTGGCCGCGACCCTGCCACAGGACGATTTTGGGGCACCAGCGGGACACCGGCGGAACACCGCGGGCCACTGGCCGCCGGAGGAGAAACATTTGGTCCAGCCGCGGCCGAGCCACAGGAGGATTTCTTCCCGCCCGCCCACGCAGCTTCGCCTCGCCGGCACGCACGCACGCACCGCACGCACGACACGAACCCGAAACCGAAATCGATTTCCCGGTAAGGGGGGGTCTCCGTGTAACGTCGGGCTCGCCCTCCAACCTCCGATATATGTATTATTTGTCGCGTGGACACTCAATTTCCGTGCAAAGGGGTCATGCGACATCACGCGCGCACGGGCTTTCGAATGAGTTTGACATGCGCGCGCGGGAGGAACGTTTTGTTGCATGTGGTGAAAATTTTGAAACACCGAATTCGCACGAACGCGGGCCCCAGTTGTTGTATGACAACTACTGTTGCGAATCCATGTTTTTGAACATTTTCTCAGGGCGCTCGATTATAGTTTTTTCGCATATTCATGTTGCTGGATTTCGGCATGCGTGCGCATCGACACGCGCGCGTGCATTTCGCCCTTCCTTTTGCAAGGTATAACTAGTGGATGTTGATAAGTGTGCGCGCGCCTCGTTTTTTTTTGTTTTGGCAGAGGATGAGGAGGGGGTGGTACTGGCGTGCGCGAAATGGCACGAGTTTATATTTAGGAGTGACGGCTTTGCGGAACATTTGTATACACACATATCTATAATTTCTGACAGCGCAATACGCGAATGGGTATTGTTAAGTCGGAGGGTAGAGCGTATATCATTTGAAAGAGGCGCCTATGTGGTGCAATCTATCTAGTACGAGATACGTGGTACCTTGAACGTCGTTGACTTGTCTTGACGTAGTAGTTGTGATGCCATACGTGTGGTACAACATGTATGCTGTAAGTCATGTGATGCAAGATATGTGTTGCAACCTATGTGGTGCAATCTTCGTGGTGCAATCTAAGTGGTACAGTATATGTGAAGTAGCCCGCGTTGATACAAATATGTGGATCAATACGCATGGTGCAATTTATTTGGCGCAATTGATTTTACCAGGGATCGCGTTTGGGGGCGTGCCGCGGAACGTGCGAGGGGACGAGCACCGTGACGACCCACCTTGGCCTGGAAGTTTTCTCTGCCGGAGTCTTTCGCTCCCACCGGTACAATCCGTGTTGAATTGCGCCTGGTTTGCGCGTGGGGCCACGATCCCTCGTGCATCATAAGTGCGTTCGCTCTCGGAGGGCCACCTTCCTTGTAACTTTCGCTGCGTCCGCGCCCCAGGGGCCACGAGCCCGCGTAAATTACGTTGCGTCCAAGCTCCAAGGCCAAGAGGCACGATCACATGTAAATGACGCTGGATCCAGGGTGACAGGGCCAAGACCCTTCCAAACTACGATGCGCCCGCCTTCCTAGGGCCATGATTGTTTTGATACGTTGTATCAGAATTGCCTCGTGTCTCTCTTGAGGGTTCTGCGCAAAACGCTCCGCACCATACTGATTCGATGCGCGATACTTCCAGGATTGTTTTCAATTCAGACGCTGCGGCCACTGTGCGCTGTAAGTCCGGGAAGCTAAACATACGAGCAGGTGGGGGAGGAAGATCTGGAGGCCCAGAGGTTGACACCAACACTAATATCGGCGGTGTGCCTCCACCGAGGGAAGATGATCTCGATCTCGGCGATCGTGGTAATATTTGAGTTTCCTAGGTGCCCGAAATCTCGGATTCCATTCCCCGTGTGGAGGCAACCCTCTGTGTTCGTGTTGGTGCTTATTTAATCGCTTCGCTCATTCCGCCGGGAGCGCTATTTGGGGCCTCGTGGGGCCGTCTTGGGGGCCTTCTGGGGGCTTCTTGGGAGCGTCTTGGGGCTCCTTGGCGGCGTCTTGGGCTCCCTTGGGGCCTCTTAGGGGGCTCTTGGGGGGCCCTTGGGGCGGGAGGGGGGGTAGTCGATTGCAGCCACCCCCTCGGAGGCCACGATCCTCGTGAGGGGTGGCGAAAAATAGCCTCCCCCCTGGGGATCGCCCGGGACCCGGCCGGGATCGGGCCAGGGGTCAGCCGGAATCTTATTCGCCCGGGGGCCCCCAGGGGCCGCCCCGCGCGCGCGAACTAGAAATATTGTTAAAGTAGTTACCGGAGATCGTAGCACGCCTCTGGCCCGTTGGGCCCGCGAATTCCCAAGTCCCCAAAGGAAGTAGGAGAAGGAACAGCAGCAGCAGCAGCAGCAGAAGGATGAGCAGGAGGAGCAGGAGGAGGACGTGTGCCCCGCGGCCAGTGTGTCATCCAAGGCATATTATTGATGGCCCCACAGGGCCTGAAAGCACCCTTCCGCAGGGCAGAAACCGAGCAGCATACCCCAGGCTCACAAAACCGAGGAACATATTCCTCTGCCCAGGAACAGATTCCTCCCAGGAGCTGCAAGGCGGATGCCGAGGAACATTCCTCTGCCATTGTTCAGGGACAGCGTTTGGGAGGGATCGGCTTCTGTAGCAAATCTTGGGAGCCTTGTGTACCCACTGCTGTCTTTTGCGTCCACGAGCGTCGACTAGCGTCTGGTAATCCATGAGGCAGTGCCGATTTAGCGTCGAGTAGCGTCGACTTAGCGTCGATCAGCGTCGATTGGCGTCGGTCCGCAAGAGACAGCAAGATTGTATGGAAGTCTCCCATGAGTTACCGCAGAAGGTAATCTGAGGCCAGGTATACACAGTCCCCAAATCGTCCATGCATCGCTGGCAGGGGCCTGATAGCTCGCCCCGCCCAGCCGATCTGTCGGCGATTTACCGCCGGTTCCAGGTCGATGTTCCTTCCCTGAGCGGGTCCCCCTCACGTTCCCCTTAGCCTGACAGCCTCCCCCGGCTGGTCCAACCTGAACACACTCATGGACGACCGCCCAGCATTCCCCCTCGCATGCACCGCCGAAAGTGTCGGTGGACTCTGCAGCACTCTGGGAGGTCAGGCCCCCCCCCCTTCGTCCTCCCCCTCAGTTCTGCTCATGCCCCTCACCCCATCCCAAGGAGGAGGAGGACGAGGAGGAGGGGGAGAAAGAGGAGGAGGAGGATGAGGAGAGGGAGGACGACGAGACTCCCTGCTGCCTCGAGGAGCAGATATCAGCACAAGCACACAGTCAGCACCGGCGGTGAGGAGCAAGGGCGGGCCCTCTCACCGTGTATCGCAAGAACACCTTGATCCTTCGGTCCTGGTCACTCGTCGGTCTTTGAGTGTGGACATTTGTGTTTCTTGGCTGCCGGATCCCAAACCACTTTGCAGTCGGACCCAGGCCCGAAGAGCATGCTCCAAGTACACGAGGCCCTCCGTCGGCCAAAGCACACAGAGGACAGCCAAGGGTACCCTCCCTGGGGTTTGCCCTCTGCCCTCCTTCCCGGGGCTGGGCGGACGCCCAAGCTGGTTTCATCGCGCCTTCCTGCTTCATGCTTCTGCCCAGTGTTTTCGACCGACGGGCATCGCTTTCCCCCTCGGTCTCCCCGGGCGGGCTTTCCTTTCCTATACTTTATAATTCTACCCCCCCCCCTTTTCCCCCTTTCCTTTACTTCCTCCCGTTCCCCTTTTCGCATTTCTTTCCCTCATTCCTATACATCACGATTCCTTTCCCCCTTTCCTATACTTCATGTTTCCTTTCCTATAACTCATGCTTCTTTTCCTATCATTGATTTTTGTCCATATTTCCTTTCCCATACTTCATGTTTCTCCCCAGGCGGCTGCAAGGGCTTCAAGGGCGCCAAGGACGCCCTCGACAAGTGGCAGCTGCCCGTTGCGGAGACGGCCGCCCCGGCTGCTGCAGTGCCCCCGCCGGTGGGCGGGGCGGGGCTGGGCCGCGCCGCCGCCCTCGCCCACCATGTCGCCGCCGCCGCCGCCGCCGCTCGAAAAAGCTGATTTCTATAAGGTTTTGGGGGTTTCTCGTGCTCCGCCTTTCCAGCGCGCCGACGTTCCACAACAGCCCCAGAGGCACCAAAGCTCGCCCCAAGACGGCTTCAGAGGCCCCCACGAAGGCGCCCACATTGCCCACGAGACAAAGAGACCTCCAGGGACCAATAAGGCGACTAATCCTTACACAATCAGTCCCAGACGCCCGTCACGCCCCCCAGGTTGCTCACAACGATCCATCCCATGACGCTCCGCGAAAGCTTCAAGACAGTCCACAGGGCCCCCCAAACCCTCCAAGAGTGTTCGAAGGCGCCTCGAGGAGGGCCTCAAGAGCCAACAATTGTTTATGTTCGATCGGTTTCTAATGGTTTTCCAGTGTTTTCCCCTTTTCACCTTGCGGACGCTCCCAGACAGCTTCGGAAGCACAGCAGCTCACCACCCCAAGACCGAACATGTGGCCCCAAAGAGGGCGCCCAGACTGCCTACGATGCACCAAAGACGACACGAGAAGCCTTCAGGAATGATGGTTGTCCACGGCACGGAGAAGAAAACACCGGTGGCCGGCAACGGGCAAGGCGCTGGGCAGAGTGCGCGGGCGTCGGGCAGCTCCTGGAGGCATAGCGTAGGGAAGTTCCCGCTGGCCAATTGGACCAAGAAACGCGTTGAGGGTCCGCGTTCGGTGGAGCTCCCAGTGGGGTCGCAGAACGTGTGAGGGGTGTACCGACATGGGCGGCGGGGAACCGCATTGGAACTTTGTCCTTGGAGCTTTCGGTGGAGCTCGCTATGGGGCCGCGAAGCGTGTGAGGGTGTGCCGACATGGGCGCGGAACCGCATTAGGGGCTTTGCCCTAGGGCCTAGGGACCTTAGGTGGAGCTCCCCATGGGGCCAGGAAGCGCATGAGGGATGTGCCGAGATGGGCGGGGAATGGCACGCGAACCCCACCAGTGGCGCCTTCGGTTGAGCTTCTTCTGGGGCAACGAAATGTGTGAGGGGCGTGCCGACATGGCGGGGAACCGCGTGCGAGCCCTGCCGTTGGGGCCTTCGGTGGATCTCCCAATCGGGCCGCGAAACGCGTGAGGATTGTGCCGAAATGGGCGGGGGATCGCATTGGGGCTTTGCCCTTGGGGCCTTGGTCGGAGCTCCCTATGTGGCCACGGAGCGCGTGGGGTGTGTGATGACGTGGGCGGGGAACCCCATGCTTGCCACCAGCGCTTTCGGTGGAGCTCCCTATTGGGCCACTTAGCGTGTGAAGGGTGTGTCTGACTGGGCGGGGAACCGCATGCGAACCCTACCACTGGGGCCTTCGGTGGAGCTTCCTGTGGGGCCGCGAAGTGCGTGAGGGGTGTGCCGACATGGGCGGGGAACCGCATGCGAATCCTGCGCCCCGCCTGTGGCGGCACCTCCATCTCCAGCTGCGCGAGTGGGGAAGCCAGAAGGCACCGATACCGCTGCTCCCTGGACCTCTCCCGGGGTACATTCTGACGAGAATTTCGAGGATAATCTAGCGGTGGCGACGAGGCCTCCCCATCAGTCCCAAAAGGGGGGAAATCAGGCTAGGGTATCGTCGGGCATGTCCTCCTACAGGCGGATTGTGGGCGAAAGATGGCACAATGATCCAAACATGTTCAAAAATTATCCAGTACAATCGAAGAACCATCCACGGGCTATTCTTATGTTATTTTTGAACATTTCTCCTGTAGGGGGACGTGCCCGACTCAGCGCTAGGGTAGCGATATGGGTACAGGCGGCCCGGATTAGTAGGTCGACCCTGCCAGATCAAGGGTACCCTCGTGTCCTGTGTCTTGCGACCCATGCCTTCCGCACTTCTGTGGCAACGTGGCCCTCGGAAGGGTCTTTTGTCGGGGGTGGACAGAGACCCCAACAGTGACACGTCGATTAGTGAATTGTCCGTTTTCGGTTCTCGAGAGGGCGCCGTGGCCGTTATTGTCCAGGCTTGGGCCCGCCAGGTTTGGGCCTCAGGTCGTTTTCACTAAACCACGTTTTACTAAAGGGAGGTCTGTCCATCCCCGATTTGTCCTCTCGCGTGTCCTGTCCAATGAAGTCCGACCGTGCCCTTTCCTCGCCCGAGCGCGTGGCCCCAGCGGTGGCGGGCAGCGCCCCAGGCCTCCGCGAGCGAGGCCTCGGAGCCTCCGCCTCGCCGCCCTCGCCTCCCTGCACGTGATCGAGCATCACGCCTCCCCCCTCCCTCCCACACAGGAGACTGTTTTTTCGGGAGCGGACAGAACCCCCAACAGTGACACGTCGATTAGTGAATTGTCCGTTTTCGGTTCTCGAGAGGGCGCCGTGGCCGTTATTTTCCAGGCCTGCGCCCGCCAGGTTTGGGCCTCAGGTCGCTTTCACTAAACCACGTTTTACTAAAGGGAGGTCTGTCCATCCCCGATCTCCCTCCCACACAGGAGACTGTTTTTGTTTAAGGGTCGGGCGATAAACCGGGTTGTCGGGCTTGCCCCCCCTCCCCCCCCCGAGGATAGCCTAACCTTGCCGCGGGAGGGGGGGCGCGGGCACCTGCAGGGCTGCCCACAGCGCGAGGGTTAGGTTACTGGCTGGCCCTCCCCCCCCCCCCCGGGTTAACCCGGATCATCGACGATACAAGCGGTCTCCAGACACGCACAAGAACACCGAGTTCCGCGCCGACACCGACTCCAAGGACCTCTCCCCGCTCCCTCCTCCATTGATTGTTCATGCATGTTGCTCAGACACCAGGTTCCTGAGGCCACGGCCTCGCCCACCTGGTCTTAGCTAGGCCCGGACGGAGTCCGCAGCGGTGGCTGTATTGTATCGTATCGCCCCTCTCTGCGGGGCGCCCGGGGCTTTGGGAGGCTGCGGCCCCGGCGGTTGCGCCCGCGGCGCAGCCGGCGGCGCCCAAGGCGGCGCGCGGCCCCGGCCGGCCGCCCGAGCGCGCTGGAGGGGAGGGAGCAACGATGGTCAAGCAGTGGAGAAGCGTCCTGGCTCGCCTGCAGGCCCACCAAATACTATGGCCCTACAGGCCCACCAACGAAGGTCTGCACGACAATTTTCTTTGAACGTTTCTGGCTGGGGCTGTTTTGTGTTGTTTATGTTCGGAGTGCATGGGTTTTTGTTCTTAGGACATGTTGGGGTTCTGAGAACATGTCCTTGTAGGCCTATAGGAATGCTGGGACGGTCGGTCCCTGCTCGACATGGAAAGGAGATGGGCTCTGCGAGGGGGAGAGGGGCGTTTTGGGTTCGAGGTTCGACGCTTCCCGGCCTCCTCGTCGGTTCTGCGCCCCAGCGGGCCCCCCGAGCGCGTCGGAGGGTAGGGGGGCAACGTACGGTGGGCAGGGAGATGGACCCGGAGGGGGGGGGAACGTTTCGGGTTCGAGGTTCGAGGGTTCTGGCGTTCCTCGTCGATTCTCGGCTGGTTTCCAGCCTCGGGTTGTGGAAGGAACCCGTGTAATACCCTCATATATACTCCTTATCCTTACCTCTCCCGCACCTGGCCGTTTGGGCTCAGGTACTGAGTTGGAGCGATCGTACCTTGATCGCTTGGGAGGGAAAGATATCCATCTATCCCTCCATCTCTCTACCAACGGATCAGGGGTTCTGTACTCTTGTACTTCAACCCCATACACAGGTTATCAGCCCTTTAACGCTCACCTTCACCGACTCGACCGCGGTGACCTTGCATGCGAGCCTAATGGAGCCACTTCGGCGCATGCGCCGTAAGGGTTCCATTGGGGCTTCGCGTCCAAGCTCTCCCACGGTGCGACGGCTCGGTGACGAGTTGGAGAGCATTAGTGCGGACTGTGTTGGTGTCCCCGATACCCCCCCCAGCTCCCGAGGACCCGAGGCGCGTCTAGCTGCTGAACTTCGCCGCAGCGCCGCCCGCGGGGGGACAGGAGAAGGAGTAGGAACAGGAAGGAACGAGTTTCACACGCCGACCTTCGATCCTCCCTCCCCTTCCCCGTCGGGAGCAATCCCAACCGCGTCAGGCGAAAGCCTTACCGGTCTCGATACTCCAGGGCGCTTTCGCGCTAACCGCCGATGGACCTCAGGTGCTGGGACCCCCAGCCCTGCGACCGTCCCTGTGGCGGAGCACGTAGCTACCTTCGAGGAACTCAGTAGACCAGTGTCGGCACAGCCACAGACGCGGTACCCCAAGGTATCATCGGATGAGACACCACACACACATGGTCCGAGTCGCAGCTCGTCCGCGCGCAACCGCCGTGGAGCCCCAGGCCCATACGGCGAAAGCAGGTCGAGCCCGCGCACTGCCTCTCAGAGGCCATGCACCCCCCGCGACAGGGGACACAGGGAAGCTGACGCTCCCCACCTCCCCATCTCAGACGACCAGCTGGCGGAGACGTCCGCCGCAGGTGACATAGCTGAGCTCAGAGACCAGGTTGAAACCTTCGTGTCCAGCCAATACTCTGGACTACTACAGAGCGTTCAGACGAACGCCGCCGATACTGCAGCCATACGTCGCGATCTTGACGGCGCCTTAGGGATCATCGATTCCAGGATCGCCGAAGATCGACGCATCATAGGAGAACTGCAGTGCCAGGTTGATCGTGAGGTGTCACACTCAGGTGAACGAGCGGCGATGGTCGAGAACCTGCGCAACTATCTCGCGCAGATGGAGCAACAACTTGTGATCGTACGCGACACAGGCATTTCTGCGGTCAGGATTTTACATGATGAGATCCACGACCAGCTCCGTAACCGACCAACTCCAACCGAGGCCACAGACCTCGGCGACGTTCAGTCTCAGATCATTGATCTTCGATCTTACCTAGACCACACTACGGCGACGCTTCGTACCGAAGCACACACAAACTCGTCGAACCTGATCGACATGTTGCAGCGTACTGAGAGAGTCATCACTCAAAGGCTTGATGCGACCAACGCTGTCGTGCAGCCACTCGCTAACCGGATCTCTGACATAGAGCAGCGTTTTCCTGGTGTACAGGACGCCCTGGCATAGTTGCGTGTCGGACGAGCCCAGACTGGCCAGCTGGATTCTCCTCCCACGGTTTACGATTTCGCCCGCCTCACTGACAGGTTGCAGGAGGTTGAGAAGGCGGCGGACCACACGCAGTTAGAGCTCTCCCAGGTTATTCATGAAAGAGATACTGAGAAGGTACGTGTTGAGAGTTATCTCGCACGTCTGGAAAGCGAGGTGGAGGCACAAAGCGCCCGTCTCCGAGCATGCGAGCATCGACTTGATCGGTATTCACAACGGTCTCGGGATACTGATGAGTATACACGCCAAAAGGTGGGTCAAATACAAGAAGACATGACGAGCTGGACAAATCAGCTGATCGACCACACTAACGACACCAACATTCACCTTCGACCTGCAGCCGACCTGCACAGGCCGACGGCAGCGTCCGCCGAAGCACCACAAGCTTCAGCAGGACAACAACGACGTACATCTCCAGGAGCAGCCTCCGCGGCAGCTTCTGCACAGACACGTCATGTGTCTCCTGTGCGCACAGAACCAACCATCGACGGTGCACCGATACCCTCACAACCAGTGTCTGCGGTGTCGGTCCATACAACGACGCCTATCAAGGAGTCAGACACCGTTCGAGTACCTGTCTTGCCTAAGATCACGCAGCTGCTGGAGTGGCAGCAAAGAGTGCGAAAGAACTTCGGGGCCGCCTCAGGGCGACCATCCAAAGCATACGCCTTCCTATGCGTGGCAGAACAGCCCGAATGTACATTCGAGGATTTACAAGACAGTGGAGACTTTGAGAGCATCGATTGCAAACTCGCAACCGCTCTGAGCGACATCTTATCCTCAGACTTACGCTACCAAATCAGGCTCATCGAGACCAGAGAGCACAAAGCAGGACGCATGCTCAAAGGACGCCAGATATACTGGCATATCCTACAGTCCTACAAAGTGACAGACGTCGACGACGACCTGCGCGATTTCGAGCGCCTTAAAGAACTGAGGATGAGAGACGAAGATTTGCAACGTTTCATTACCGATTGGGACGCCTTACTCTTGGAATGCCGAGAAGTACCCGATCCAAAGATATTGGAATCGCTATTTCGCACACAGATTCGTAGACATGCATGGATGAAACAAGACATGTACGAGTACCAGCGCATGAAGATGAGCGACCCGAATCGTACCTACGGTTGGCTTCGACAGCGTGTCCTGGACATACTGGAGATTAAACAATTGGAGAATAATCAAAACAAGCTACGGTACGAACGCGAGACACGATCTCAGGTCAACGCGTGCGCTGCATGGAAGAAAGGCAATTGTCGCAATGGTGAACGGTGCAAGGCTTTACATACATATTCCAGGGATTGGAAGAACAACAAATCTTCCAGAACATCAACGGCTGGTGGCAACCCCCGCCGTAGTATGTCCACTCCTGCGAATCGCAAGAAGCCAGCATCAAGGCCATTCTGCTTCGATTTTGCCAAGCGCAACACATGTACCAGAGGTGATAAGTGTAACTACCCGCGCGTCGCACAGTGCAAGGATTTCGCACAGAACAAGTGCACAAAAGGCGACAAATGCAAATACGCTCATCTCGCACCTGGTGCAAAGACTCCTGAACGAAGCCCGAGTCGACCACGGACTTCCAGCCAGGACAGCCGTGGCCGATCACCACCCCGCGGATCAGGAAGCCAACGGTCTTCGCAACGCGGGGGGTTTCGCTGCGCAAGCGATTCGCGACAGGGACGTGACAACCGACGCCAATGCGACCGATCCCGTTCGACATCCAGGAGGTCCCAAGACTCTCGCAGCCAATCGAGAAGTCGTTACGACAGATCTTCGAGATCTACCTCCCGAGGACGAGACAATCGTGGCGGCGGACGCGGCAGTCCACGCGGTCGTGATAGATCATATGGCAGTGACAAAGGACGTGGCAAGCGGTATCCGAGCCGCGGATCGCCCCGTGGCTCACCCAACACTAGGGCACGTTCTCCTGCCAACTTTAGACGTTCACGCCGTTCAGACCGCAGTTACGTCATCCGTGACAAGACCCTCATGGCCAACACTAAGGCCACAGCGACAGCTACCAAGACACGTCGTCGGATACGCTTCGACGTACGCAACGTGGACTACTACTTCCATACCATATCTGGCAGAGCCAGACTGGACAGATGGAAAGAGCTGCCGAATGAGGGTGACATCGTCAAAGTACCAGATCCATTACCACAAAAATGGTGGGATGATAGTGCAGAGGCCTTACGAGAATGTCAAAAAGAGGCACAACTATGGTACGACGAACTGTACGACTACCGACACAACAAAGAGTCGGTGGCCACACCAACTGCGATCCGAAAGCATGACGACACTGTCAAGCAGTCATCAAAGACTGCCCAGACGACAACAACGACAAAGCAAGTCGACACTCCACGTTCGACTGCAGCATTAACAAGGTCTTGGGTTCTTGACAGTGGCTCTGCCCATCATATTCAGGGAAAACATGAACTTACGCAGACCGAGTCGGATCGCATATCTATTCGCGAAGAGCATATTCTGGAAACTGCAAATGGTAATCGTACCGTCAACGAGCACTACGACATACGGCTACCCGAGGCTGGACTGCATAGTTCAGCCCTTGCTTTACCAGACTGCCCATCATTACTATCAGTTGGAAAATTGATTGAGGTTGATGGCTTTCGACAGCTTTGGGATCCTGAGTTGGGCTACATGCTTCAGGATCCGGGGGGCCAATGGTATAAGATTCCCGTCAGCAATCGTGTGCCAGAGTTACGACTCGACGACTTAACACGGATACCACCACCACGTTTATGCACTTCGTCAGCGCCCCGCCGTCGTCAGCGAAAGCGTTCATCCGCCCGCTGTAACGACACTTGCTGGCGCTGCAAAACTACAGAGCAACCAACCACTGCAGACGAGCTACGACCCCACATA